TACTACTACTACTACTACTACTACTACTACTACTACTACTACTACGACTACTACTACTACTACTACTACTACTACTACTACTACTACTACTACTACTACTACTACTACTACTACTACTACGACTACTACTACTACTACTACTACTACTACTACTACTACTACTACTACTACTACTATTACTACTACTACTACTACTACTACTACTACTACTACTACTACTACTACTACTACTACTACTACTACTACTACTACTACGACTACTACCACTATTCCTACTACTACTACTACTGCTACTACTACCACGACCACTATGTATTATTTCTACGACGACTACTATTACTACTACTACTCTTACTACTACTCCTGCGACTTCTACCACTACTACTACTACTACTTCTACTAAGACTATTGCTAGTATTATTTTTTGAGAATGCTTCTACGACTATCACAACGACGACGGCCACTACGGCGATTATGATTACTACTATGACTACTACTACTACTATTACTACTACTACTACTACTACTACTACTATTACTATTACTACTACTACTAACACCACCACTACTACTACTACTACTACTACTACTACCACTACTGGGACTACTACTACTACTAATACTACGATTACGATTACTGTTACTACTACTACTACTACTACTGCTACTACTACTATCATTACTACATTCACTACGACTACTTCTATTACAATTACGACTACTACTACAACTACTGTTATTCATATTTCGACTAGTACTACTTTTACGACGACTGCTGTTATTATTTTCACGATTACGACTTTTATTATTGCGATTATTATTAGTACTATTTTTATTATTACTACCACTACTACTATTACAACTACTACTACTACTACTACTCTACTACGACTACTACTACGATTCCTAAGAGTACGACTACTACCATTACTATTACTACTGTTGCCACTCCTACTTCTACTACTATTTGTACGATTGGGACTACTACGACTACAACTACGGCTATTACTAGTACTATTTTCTTTTTTCCAATAACAGCTATTACTACTACTAGTTTGTCAACGCGTACATCTACGACGATTTCGATGACTACTACTAGTACGATTACTATTACCACCATTGCGAGTACTAGTGCTACTACTGCCACTACTACTACTACTACTACTACTACTACTACTACTACTACTACTACAACAAGTACTACGGCGACGACGACTACTACTACTACTACTACTACTATGGCTGTTGCTGCCATTACCACTACTGCTACTGCTCCCTATTTTCATTTCTAGTATTCCAAATACTACTACTACTACTACTACTACTACTACTAGTATTAAGACGATTAGTACTATTACTTCTACTTTCATTATTGAGACTAGCAGGAATTACATCACTCTTATAATTTGGAGTATGACAACTAGTACTACCTCCTACTATTACTGCTACGACTACTACGATTACTGCACCATTACTACAATTACCACGGCTACGACTACTATTACTATTACTACTACTACTACGACGACGACTACTAGTACGACTTCGTTTTGTAGTATGACGGTTCATACATATATATATATATGTATATATACATATATATATATATTACAACTATTACGTCTACTATTCGCACTATTAGTACTACATATACGACTCTTACTACGAAGACGACTGCTACGGT